AAGAGGAGGGTTGGTTTTCTGCCATGCTTTTTTGTTGTTGTTCTCTCTCCCAGGGTTTCTAGGAAAAAAACTCTGTCTGTCTCTTTTCCAGTCCGTCCCACAGAGGAGGGTAAGGGGATTCTGAAACTCCCGACAGGAGCAGAGGAAGGGGGCATGTAACAGAATCCTCAGGCTGGCGAAGCTTCCCCTTTTGGGGGACAGCTTACTCACCCCGCTCTGCCACACATCCCCACCTCCAACCTTCCCAGAGAGGGGCCCACAGCCACCCCAATGGCTCCAAAGCATGGCCCAGGCCCGGGGAAAACCCCCACCCCACAAGCCCATCCCACCCCACTACCCTGATCTCCCTAGTGAGACGCCCACAGCCCCCGACAGCTCCGGAGCCCGGCCACTCACTTGCTCGCTCGGGGGCAGCTGTGGCCAGGTGGAGCGAGACAGCTTGCCCAGTACTGCCAGCTTGCCTGGTCTCCAGGGACCAGTAGGTGAGGCAGCACCAGAGCTGGACGGGGGGGGGGGAGGGAAAGGAAGGGTGGCAAGCAACAGCAGCACCCACTTGGTTTGGCTTTGGCTTGCTGCACCAGGCCTGGTGGCTCTGTCTCGGGGGAGGTGCAGTCCCCCTTGGAAAAATTTGGGGGTAGCCCCCGCCCCCCTGTGTACTCTATGCCTATGCTCAGTAGGATCATCAGTGGTCATCAAACCCATTCAGCCAGCTCCGGTAGGACCATCAACAGGCATTAATTCCATCAAGTTCTGGCCCAAGAGATTGCCCCCAGAATTCCTATAAAAACAGAGAGCATGATCCACCTTGGTGTGCACTCTTGAGGGTGCCTTTTACTTAGTATACCCCCAAAGTCTCTTCTTTGGGCCTCCTTCTCCATAGCGTGGAATTATGGCCGTTGGTGCTATTCTCTTCCCAGACTTCTGCAAATCTGGACAAGTAGTATAACCCTCATAGTTGCTCCTAAACATCACTATCATCACCTCTTTATTTCCTAGTTGTTGAATGCATGCTTACTTTATTGTTGATTGTTTTAGTGTGATTGTAATCAGGGAAATTCTTTAATAACACTATTTGATTACTCTTTAAATCTGGAGTCTTCCTACTGAACTGGACTTTGGCATATATAGGTGTGCAGTCACTTGTACCCTTTTGACCTTAGCTTTCTCATAGCTAATTTCCCCCAACAATGACACAGACCACTTGTGGTAATAACAGGACCCTAGCCACAGAACAGCCACAGGAGTTCAACACCTGCCAGTACAGCTGAGCCCTATTATCTCCCAGCCTATTTAGGCTGAAACTTGGGAAGGCTGCCTTGCAGGTTCACTAGGCGCAAGCCTTGTCTCCAGTTCCCGATCCTGGCTGCCAGCACCTGTCAATGCTCCCAAGCCCCAATTGTCTAGACCTGAGGGCTCTGGTCCACAGGAGACCTGACTGGGGCTGCCTGTAGAGTGCCGGATACTGCCCATACCACCAGACTTGTCCTGGCACTGACAGCCAGCACACAACTGGCCCCAGGTCAGCCTGGCCACCAGCAATCAGTGCACAATTGGGCCAGGGCCAGTGACAGCTACCACATAACTGGGCCTGGCCCAGCATCATCGACTGCACATCTTGGCCAGACTTTTTCCAGAAAGAGATGGCCTGGAGAAGGGAAGGAGGAAAAGCCGAAGACAGGGAAGGAGATAATGGTAGATTGGGTAGTGGGTGAGAAAAAGAAAATAAAGCAGGAAAAGGAGAGAGACCATGGGGGCTGACAGGAAAGGGAAAGAAGAAACAGTGGGGGAGAAGGTACAAGGAAAAGTGAGATCTTTACTTCAAGTCCTTGTGGTTCACCTGGTAGTTTCGCTATAATCATATAACCTGTTCTGGTCAGCAAAGAGATTATCACATTTTGTTCCAGCTTTCCAAGTCATGTAAAAGGACAGCTGCATGTAGAGTATGGGGAATTTCACATTACCCTTTTAAAGCCGGTTTTAAGCCGTTATTGATCCATCTTGGATTAAACCGGTACAGGGCTGCCATTTCACACAAGCCTTTCCCCTACCGGTAAAGAGCCATCTCTGAAGTGGTTTGGCATTTCAGACTGCACCGCCCTTTTCCCACCCTTTTTCTCTCAGCGCGG